CCGCTTTGCTTTTCGAGACCCGGACTTGGGGGTGGGGGTCGCTTCGATCTTGGTTCAGTCCGCACCTCCTCGTCCTTCCCCTTCTGTTCGTTCTGGTCCCCCGACCCTGCTTCCGGCCCCGAAGCGTCTGAGGGTTTCGGGGTCGGAGCAGGGGTTAATTGATCTCGAGACTCGGGCGGCTTCGGGGGTTGCCCCTTCCGGGGGGGCGGCAGAGGCATTCGAGTCTTGTCTCCCGGCCGAAGCTTCAGGGTCTGACCAGTGGGCCCCCCTTCCTCCAGCTTTTCCGGCTGCTCCGTCCTTGACTTGTGGGGTCGGGGCTTGGGGAGAGGACTCGGCCTCGGGTCCTGTGGTGACGGACCTCGAGGCTGGGGAGGGGCTGACTTGGGGGCCTTGGGCCCCGCTGGACCCCGCCTGGGTTTTTCTTCCCACTGAGCGGGGCTTATTGTTACAAGGAGTGGGGTTTTCTTTTCCCCCCTCTGCGTACGAGTTGGATTTGGTGTCGGCCCCTCCCCGGGTTCGGTTCCGTGTTCCCCGGGTACGTCGGTTCCGTCCTTCCGGAGGTTTTCGGCTTATCGCATCCAACCTGGTGTGGTGCGAGCGGCCTTTGCAGCTTACCTCCTGCGTGACCCGGATTATGCCTCGGAAATGGATCCGTCCACGTTCAGGTTTGGGACTTCGTTCCCTTTCTGGCTCCGTTACGAGGTTCCGGAGTCGTCCTGGCTAGCAGACTGCCCCTTGTTTGGTCTGGATTCCTGGCATTCCTTCTGTCGTTCCCGCACGCTGGAGTGGCGGGAAGCTTCCACGGTGCTTCAGGTTTTCCTGGGGGGCGAACTTGAGTACCTGAATGAGTGCTTGTTTGCCCCTGCCCTTCCCCGCGATGTGGGCGTTATTCAGCTCCATGTGCAGGTTCCCCCCCTTTCGGCGGCGCTCGTTGCGGAGGACTTGCGCGCCCGAGGCCTTTTGTGTTCGGCCTTGCGGTTCTTTTCCCTCCTGGAGTTGTCTTCGGATTGGCTCATGGAGGATGTGGGGACGCTTGGGTCCGTCCCGGGGTCCGGCACCTTGTCCTCGGCTGCCTTGTTGAAGCCGTTCACGCCGATTTTGCGGGATGCGGTTTCCCTGTTTTATGCTTCCCGTCTCGCGTGTCGGCAGGCGGTGCTGGGTTCCTCCGTGGAATCTGCTTGGGCTCTGGCTCTTAGGCGTTCTTCACCTTTTTGTCCTCTCCTGTTTAGGGAGTCGGCCGTGGCGCAGTTTATTCAGGCTGCGTCGGCGGCTTGTCGTCCGATGTCGGACTTGTTGGTTTTCCGGGGATCCCGTGGTGGGTCTTCCCGGAAAGGTCGTGCCAGGGCTCGGGGTTCCTCTCGTCGTGGTAGGCCTCTGGTGTCAGGTTTGGGGTTGGCTCCTCCTGCGGACCTTCCCTCGTCTGGTCGGCGCGGTGTTCGCGGTGTGCGGGGTTCTGGGTCTCGTAAGGGTCGCCGGCCCTTTCGCGGTTTGCCCCCTTGACGGGGCGATGGGGGGGCGGCTTGCGCTGTTCGCCCGCGCCTGGTCCCACGATTCGTGGGCCTTTCGGGTCGTGTCTCGCGGCCTGCGGTGGCGTTGGGTGGCCCCTCCCCCCTTTGGGGGGTCGGGGCTGGCAGGGCAGGTTTCTTCCCCTGCGCTCTGTCGAGTCGTCTTGGAGTGGGTACGCTTGGGCGTCGTCGAAACGACGTCGTCCCTCAGATGGGTTTCCCGTCTGTTTCCGGTTCCGAAACGGGACTGCGCGGACCTGCGGTTCATTCTGGACTTGTCCCGTCTGAACCCCTGGGTTCATTGCCCCTCCTTTCGGATGACTACGCTGTCTCAGGTTCGGCTCCTCTTGGAGCCGGGAGCTTGGATGGTGTCCCTGGACCTCCGGGACGCTTATTGGCATGTCCCGATTCATCCGCGGTTCAGGGACTGGCTCGGTTTTGTTGTGGGGCGTCTGAGTTACCGCTTTCGTTGTCTCCCGTTCGGGTTGAACCTGGCACCTCCCGTGTTCGCGCGCCTTACACGGGTTGTGGTGGCTCGTTTGTGTCTCCTAGGTGTTCGGGTGTTGGCCTACCTCGACGACTGGCTGGTTTGGGCTCCCAGCCAGTCAGCTTGCTTGCTAGCCAGGGATTTGGTTCTTTCCCAGCTCGCCGAGTTCGGGTTCTTGGTGAACTGGAGGAAGTCCCATCTGGTTCCCTCTCAGGTTCGGACTTGGCTGGGTCTCGTTTGGGACTCTCGAACCGCCTCCTTGTCTCTCCTGCGGCTGCGGTCCCGCCTTCGTCTGTTTCTGGAGGGCCCTCGGGTCACCCGGCGGTTGCTCGAGGGGCTGTGCGGGAGCCTGAACTTCGCGATGGTGGTCTACCCGCCGGGTCGGGTTTGGCTTCGACGGCTGTTCTGGTTCCTTCGGGATTCCCCCTTCCGCCTCTCTCGCGATCGCAGAGTTCGACCCCCGGGGGCCTTGCGTCGGTTGCTGCGTCACCGGCTTCCTCTTCGGGTTTTTCGGGGTTCAGTGCCTTGGCGCCTACCCGAGCCCTCGCTCGATGTGTACACGGATGCATCGTCTCTCGGCTGGGGTTTTGTGACCAGTGCTCACCAGGCCGGCCGGGGGCGTTGGGATCCGTCCTTCCGTCGAGCTCACAGCACGGTGCGGGAGTTCGCGGCAGTGTGGTTTGCTCTGGGGAGGATTCGGGTGGCCTGCGGATCGACGATTCGGCTCCATTCGGACTGCTCTCCGGTGGTTCATTGCCTGAATCGCGGGGGTTCGATGCGGTCCTTGTCTCTTTGGGGTTGGTCGCTTCGGGTGACTCGTCTGCTGAGTTCTCAGGGTTTGGCTCTCCTGGCGGTTCACGTACGGGGCGTGTCCAATGTCTTGGCCGACGCCCTGTCTCCCTTCGTTCCCCTCTCCACGGAGTGGACGGTCGACGACGAGTCCTTCCGTTGGCTTTGCCAGACGTTCGGGCGCCCCGAAGTGGACCTCTTCGCGTCGGCGTGGTCGCGGCGTCTTCCCGTTTATGCGGCGCCCTTCCCCGATCGCGAGGCCATCGGGGTCGATGCCTTTCGGCTAGACTGGTCGAGGTGGGGGTTCCTGTACCTCTTTCCCTCGGTTCGGCTGTTGCTCCAGGTCCTGACTCGCTTAGAGACTTACCAGGGGAGAGTTGTCCTTCTGGCCCCTTGGTGGCCGGCCCAGCCTTGGTTTCAGGCGCTGGTTGCTCGGTGTCCGAACCCGAGGGTTTTCCCGCGGCTCCGCCTCTTTCAGCAGATCGGGCCGATATGTCACGTGGCTGGTTCGATCTTCTCCTCGAGTCTTCGCGTATGGTTTTTTTGACTCGAGTCTATCATCATCTCTATGGTGATCAGGTGGCCTCCTTGTTGGTGTCCCACCTGAGGGCTTCTTCTCGGCGGCAGTATGAAGTTTCCTGGCGGTCCTTCCGTTTCTTTTTGCGTCTTCGTCGTGTTAGCTCCTTGTCTGTTCGGGTGGTCTTGTCCTTCCTCTCGTGGTTGTTTCAGGACCGTCATCTTATGCCTAACACTGTCGCTTCGTATCGTGCGGCGCTGGTGGAGCCGCTTCAGCTTGCTTTCGGTATCGATGTTACGTCTGCGCCGTTTCGCAAGCTGTCTCGTGCATTGTTTCACCTCCGGCCTGCTCATGCGTCGCCTGAGCCGTCCTGGTCTTTGGACAGAGTGCTCGCTTTCCTTTCATCTCCTCGTTTCGTTGTGGCCCCTTCGGTCCAGGATTGTTTTTCCAAGGCACTTTTCTTGTTGCCTGTGGCCTCTGGGGGTCGGGTAGGGGAGCTTCATGCTCTCCTCCGGCGCAGGGGTTTCTGCTCTTTTGGTCGTGGTGATTGTTTTGTTCGTTTGCAGCCGTCTCCTTCTTTTCTGGCGAAGAATGAGACTGCTGCGTTCCGGAGGGGTCCGTGGGTGGTTGATGCTTGGTTGGTCAGGCCGGGGGTGCATCATGTTTTGTGTCCGGTTGCGGCGCTTCGCCGTTATTTGCGCGCCACAGCTTCTGTGCCCGGGGACGTGCTGTGGGTTGATCCGGTTTCCCTTCTTCCCTATTCGCGGGTTCGGGTCTCTCAGGTCGTCCGCAGGGTTATTAGGTCCAGCCAGCCTGCGGTCTATCCCTGTGCCCATGACGTTCGTAAGTTCGCGGCTCTTGCTGCCGTCTTTGGGAATATGTCTTGGTCTGATATTCGGGCGTGGGGATTTTGGCGGTCGAACAGGGTCCTGGCTGCTCGTTACCTTGTGAATGTCCCTGGGCCTCGTCGGGCCTGTGTTGCTTTGGGTCGGCGGTTGCAGCCAGTTGTCTCGGCTTCGAGTTGAGGGGTGAGCGACGACCGCCTCCCGGGTAAGTCCCTCTTTTTTCTGTCTGTGGGTAGTTAGCTCCGGGGAGCCGACGGGGCTCCCCCCAGAATACCAGCGTTGAATGTAATGAAACGCCATTTTCTGGGTGAGTCCCAGAGGCTCCCCGGCATCCCTCCCTCCCTCCGGTCGGCGGTTTTTCGCGTTTTTGACATCCAGCCTCAAGAACTGAGGTGTGGGTAGCCGGCGCGGGGGGTCTGGGGCTCCCCCCTCCCCGGGAGGGGGAGGGGGGAGCTGCGCAGACAGCGGCGCTGCGGTGTGTGACGTCACACTAGTTTGCTTGTTTTCGGTTGGGGAGTTCTATCCACTAGTTCGGTTTTTGGTAGCAATTTTAACCAGAATAGGGGTTTGTTTTGGGGCGCTTACCTTTCTGGGTGCCTGTTCCGGTCGATGGCAGACATAGAATGCTTCCAACTACACGGGGGCTTCTATAGGCCATTGCTCCCCTTGCCTCTCTGAGGGGGCCCGGTTCTGGCCGTGGTCCCCGGTAGGCCTAAGAACTCCATACACATGACTGATGCCAAAGTCTGACATTAGCATATCAGCCTGGGATAGCTCCGGGGAGCCTCCGGGACTCACCCAGAAAATGGCGTTTCATTACATTCAACGCTTGTTTTTTAATGGTGTTATTTTGGCAGCTGTTGCGTTGATGAAGTGGCCGCAGAACATGTCGGTGCCGATGCCATCATCCACTTTGGCCGCACCTGTCTCAGCCCGTCTAGAAGACTGCCTGTTCTTTGTATCCTCACAAGAATACCAGTGGATATTCCTGCAGTCATTTCAGGCTTGGAAAGTGCCATTGAAGACCGGACAAGGGGTTTGATCTTCGTGTATGATACGAGGTGCCATTACATTGCTAGTAGGTTCCAATACTTATTCCATCTTTCTGTATATTTTTTGCTCTGTATACTATTTAGCACTTTCAAATGGAGTTTGAGGAAGGGTCGAGGGTATGTTCCTTGAATATTTTGTTAAACAATATCAGAAGTAAAGTGAGGATTTTAATTATGAATAACAAAAAATGTTATGGAATGTTAGAGTGAAATAGGAGGTGAAGTATTTGAAGCAATTTACCATTTAAATCAATTAAGTCAAACAATAGCGATCCAAAATGGATAATCATAGGACTAAAAATAAACATATAGGGAAATTATGTCTATAAAAGAGTGTGTTTGTCTATTCAAGGTAAGGAGCATGAAGCTTGGACTAGCCTCGCCAAACTTAGCAGGGTAACTGCGTAAACTGTGCAGGGATGTAGTATACATGGGCTAAAACCTTTGATATGGAACCACATAAAAGACTGGCAAGGAAATTACAGGCCCATGGAATAAATGGTAGAATATTAGAATGGATAAAAGTGGCTGAAACAAAGAACACAAAGGGTCGTACTAAATGGATCCAAATCTGACTGGAGAAATGTGGTAAGTGGGGTACTTACTGGGGGTACATTTTGGGGCCAACCTATTTATCATTTACATCAGTGACATAGATGGGAATATTACAAACCACATCATCAAATTTGCAGATGACACAAAGATATACGGTAAAGTGGGAATAATGCAGGCGGTGAGTCACAATAACGTGGCTGAAGTATGTTGACCAGACCACACACTAAACAGTGATGGGACGACGACGTTTCGGTCCGTCCTGGACCATTCTCAAGTCGATTCATAAACTTGTGAATGGTCCAGGACAGACCGAAACGTCGTCCCTTCACCTTCTGGTGTGTAATCTGGTCAACAAGTGGGAATAATAATGATATTGGAGCCCCTACAAAAAGTTACTTGAACTCCACAAATGGTCAGAAGACTAGCAAATGCTTTTTAATTTTGACAAATGCCATACCCTGCATGTGGGGCCTTGGAGTCAAAATCCACTACTCACTGAAAGTTGCACAGCAGGTAGGAGCAGCAGTCACAAAAAGGCTAACCAAACCCTTGGAATAATCAAGAGTACCTTTGACTTTTAAGGAAAGGAAGGTGATGATTCAATTGTAAAAGTCTCTGGTGCAGCCCCATTTGGATTACTGTATCCAAGCATAATAACCCCATCTTCAGAAGGACATAGCTGCTCTGGAGAAAGTGCAACATTGGGGAGCCGGTCGGTCGAGCGGACAGCACGCTGGACTTGTGATCCTGTGGTCCTGGGTTCAATCCCAGGCCCTGGCGAGAAACAATGGGCAGAGTTTCTTTCACCCTATGCCCCTGTTACCTAGCAGTAAAATAGGTACCTGGGTGTTAGTCAGCTGTCACAGGCTGCTTCCTGGGGGTGGAGGCCTGGTCGAGGACCGGGCCGCGGGGACACTAAAAGCCCCGAAATCATCTCAAGATAACCTCAAGATAACTGGCCAACAAAAATCATTCCAGAGCTAAGTCATCTCACATATTGGGAACGGTTGAGGGCCACAGAGCTAACAACTCTGCAAACCAGGCACGACAGGGCAGATCTCATTGAAACTTTTAAAATACTGAACAATTTGGTGGATGTTGATCCGGAAAATATCTTCAAAAGGTCTAATGTGACGAAAACAAGGAGCAACAGTTGCAATGTTGTTACAGATTCAGCTACTCTGAACAAGTTCCAAGTAGCATGGGCTATGGTGAGCCCGTAACTTACCTGGCACAGGAGCAGGGCAAGTAGCATGGGCTATGGTGAGCCCGTAACTTACCTGGCACAGGAGCGGGGCAAGTAGCACGGGCTATGGTGAGCCCGTTGAGGACTTACCTGGCACAGGAGCGGTGCTGTGGGAGCGATAAGTTTCAAGCGCGACAAGATACAATGCAGGACTGAGAACAGGAGATGCTTTTTCACCCACAGGGTTATAAACCAATGGAACTGCCTACTAGCTGAAGCTGTAAATGCCAAGACTTTGAATTTCAAAATCAAACTGGAAAAGATTATCAAGGCTAATGGGGGGACTTTTAACAAGCCGCTGGCTTACTGTTATCATTGAGGTCACTAGTGGAAGTGGCCCTCGGGTAAATCCAGGCTTCTTAATAGCTAAATAGTACATTGTCTGTTCCATTTCTCCCTATGTGTTCCTCTTTCTCTTCCCAATCTTAGCCACCTCTTGGACTCATTACCAGAGCCTTTGCTCCTTTTGGGTGATTTTAATTGTCTCCATGCACTCTGGGGTGATGCATGATGTGAAAATTTCCCCTTAGGCCAAAATCTGATGAATTAAAAATGGCAGCATCTTGCAAAATTGATGTGATGTTCTGTTTTCTGTATGTGGGTCCTAGGATAGGTTAGGTTTGGGCAGTTTAGTACAGTTTAGTGACGTTGGGAATGCTCGGGAGAATGAGTCGTCTCAATGACTTTCATAACAGTGACCGTTTCCTCATACCCGTAATCCAATTTTTTTTCTGCCCTCTCCTCTTGTTTGGTGGCAGTTTGATAAGGCGGACTGAAATCTTTTCACCCTCTGCGTTCCTCTTTCCAACCTATCCGATTTACCTTCCTCTTAATGGTGCTACATAGCCTTCTCGGCTTGGTGCCTTCTTTGATAATTACTAACTTGCCTTCCTCTTGAGCCCTCCTACTTTTTCACAACACTTTATTGGATGCTACACTGCTCTATTCCTTACTATGCTTCCCATGGCATCTGGAAGTGTGTTCCCTGGTGGAATTCAGATTGTACTCGTGTGTTATGCTGTAAGCATGCAGCCTGGAAAAGACATTGATACCGACTGACTCCTGAATCTTTCATTTTGTTTTGAAAGGTGAGTGCGGTGGCCCGTAAAGTCATCCATACAGCTAAACAGAAGAGTTAGAGATTCTGTCTCCACCATTACAGTTGACACCCCTCGCCCCAGATCTGGAAGAAAATGATAAGATTGCTGGTAAATTTGTTTGAGACATATCACCAGTTGCCTGTAGTAGGAAGCAGTCTGTATCTGCCATCTACCAAGTCAGTCACCCAGAACATTAGGAATCCCAAAACAAACTACAGCCAGTGAAAAATTGCTAACCGAAAGCTGAACAAGCAAGCAGAACTTCCCAATCAGAAAATAAACAAACAAACAAGCATTTAGTCACCACAGCCACCGTGCCGCTGTCTGCGCAACTGCACAAGGGGGAAGGGGAAGGGATCCCGAACCTCCCGTGCCAGCTACCCAATCCCAGTTCTGAGGCGTTGAATGGTGATCGATTGACTCTGGCTCCAATCCTTGAGCAGTGCTGTGCCTTGTGGTGGTGTGCTGCGATGTGGTGGTGTATGAGCCAGGAATAATTCCAGAAGTACAGTACTGGGGCTGCATGTGCCTAGGGTCCTCTTCCCCAGGTGCCCTGTAACTACAGGTACTGCCATTGCGGTTTAGGGTTATCTACCACAGGCCGTTTGGGAACTACCTCTGCAGGGTTCTTTTGCTGCTCAGTGATTGGCCGTCCTTGGGGTCAGTTGGGGTTGTTCCTGCCTCTGTTTGCCCTTTGGTAGGAGAGAGTATCGTCGCTGGCTGGGGCACAAGGTACTATGCAGCTGTCTGGTATATGCATAGTGGCTGGTTCTGTTCCCCTGGGAACATTGTACTTTTTTTTTTTTTCCTGGCGGGGATCTACCTTGTGTGGCTGTTGGTCCACTTGCATTTCTGTGGCGAGCCCCTTCGGCTCCCCAGAGCTATACCAGGCTGATGTGCACATATTAGACTGTGGCAACAATCAATCAATGGAGTTCTAGGCCTACCGTGGACCAGAGCCAGCACCTGGCCCCTCAAGAAGAGGCACAAGGAGCAATTGCCTAAAGACACCCCCTGTGTAATTGGAAGCAGTCTTTGTCTGCCATCTACCAGGTCGAGCACCTAGAAAGGTAGGAATTCTAGAACAAACTACTGCTGGTCAAAAATTGGAAACCGAAAGCCGAACTAGCAAGTAGAACCCCCCAATCAAAAACAAGCAAACAACCGTCGCGCATCCATCTGTGCAAACAACCCCCCCCCCTTCCCCAGGAGGAGGGACAGTCCCAAACCTCCATGCCGGCTGCTCTCCTCAGATCAAGAGGCTGTTGTGTCGGTGGCAGTCGATCGACTCTGACTCCATCCTTTGAGCAGTGCTGAATAGTGATGTTTTTGTTCAGTGTTAGTGGTGTGCTAGCCAGGAGTTACACAAGAGTACTGGGGCTGTATATACCTAGGGCTGCCTCCCCTAGGTGCCCTGTAAGTACTGCCCCTGCGGCCTAGGGTTATCTTCCCCTGAGCCGTTCGGGAACTACCTCTGCTAGGTTTTGTTGCTGCTTGGTGATTGCTTGCCCTTGGGGTTCAGCTGGGGTGGTTCTTACTCCTGTTTGCCCTTGGGTAGAAGGTAGTTTCATCGCTGAAGGGGGTGCGAGGAACTGTGCTGCTGTCTGATATACTCATAGCGTCTAGTTCTGTTTCCCTGGAGACGTTGTGCTTTTGCGGGGTTTTTCTTTAGTTTTTGTTTTGTTTTGCCTGGTGTGGCGTTAGAACCACTTGTATGGTTTTGGTGGCCCTCCACTAGGTCCCCGTGCTGACACACGTCACAGGGGTTCAGCTTTTAGTTTGTTGGTTTGGTAGCTCTGGGATAACTGGTTAGCAGTACCTTGCCTGGGCTTCCCTTAGCAGTCAGCCTAAGGTCCCTGGAAACCCCCATTGGGGCTTATTGGTCCAATGTAGGAGACCTCTGAATCTCGCCTCGCTTTGTGTGAGTTTGAAGTTTGCTCTGTCCCCTTGTTTCAGGGTGACATTGATTGTCTTTGCCTCCGCTATGCTGCCTTGTTGGGTCGATAACACCTTTGACCCAGAGTCTTGTGAGTGGTGTTCCTTGCATGTACTCCAGTTCACCCAGTTCACTGTTACTGATATTCAGGTTCAGGCAGCTTCTGTGTTACATGCGAGGTTAGGTTGCTGCAACGCACTCTGTTGGTTGCCTTTTCGGATGCCCCGCGGCTGCCTCGTTTGGATTATAGCGACCTGGCTTTGGGGGGTTAGCTGCTTCGACTTTGGTTTTGTCCGCACCCTCTTGTCCTTTCCCTGTTGTGATTCATCTTGCTCCCCCTTTTTCCCTGCTCCCGGCTCCCAAATGTCTGAGGGTTTCGGAGGTTGGGCAGGATTTTCTTGGTGGTGAGACTTGAGCAGCTTCGGGGACTGTCCCTTCCGAATCGAGGGCGGAGGTATTTGAGCCTGTTCTTCCTGCCGGGGTTTTTGGGTTGCACCAGCAGACCCCCCTTCATCCCTGCATTTCCAGTGGACTCTACATTTCTCCATAGGCAGAGGGCTTGGGGGACAGCTTTGCCCCGGGTCCTGATGTGGGGGATCCCGGGGCTGGGGAGGAGTTGACTTGGGGGGTCTTGGGCCCCGTTTCACGCCACTTGGGTTTTGGTACCTTCTGAGTGGGGCTTATTGTTACAGGGGGTGGGGTTTTCTTATCCTCCCTCCCTATACGAGTTTGATATGGCGTCGGTTCCTCCCTGGCTTCAGTTCTGGGTACCCTTGGGTACTTCAGTTCCTTCCTTCCGGAGGTTTTTGACATCCCGCATCCCACCTCATGAGGTGTGGGAGACCCATGCGGCTTACCTCCTGCGTGACATGGATTATGCCTCGATAATGGATCCTGCATCTTTTGAGTTCAGTTCTTCATTTCCTTACTATGTTCG